ATCTCCTGGGTTTTGTTTGTAATAAAATCTAAAAAGGTATATTTTATTACCGAATGTTTCAGACTAGTACTACATTATAACCTATTAAGCAGATTTAAACAATATCTTGTTTCGTTAGCGGTTATGAGAAAATAATTTGTCATACTATAGGTTACATAGTCACGGATAACCAGTATTTCATTCACAGTGGTTTCGTAAGGAATAACTGTGATATGGTACGAAAACCTCAACCTGATTTTGATTACTTAAAGCAAGGAATGATCAGTTTCAATTAAGGTAGGTGAGCGAATCACCTTGGTAACATTGTAGAATTGTAATGAATCATCTTGGCAACGTTGTAGAATTGTGGTGAATCACCTTGGTAACATTGTAGAATTATCGTGAATCACCTTGGTAATATTGTAGAATTATCGTGAATCACCTTGGAAATGGTATATACATTTTGAGCTGAAACTATAATTCTACAACGTTGCCAAGATGATTCATTAGAATTCTACAATGTTACCAAGGTGATTCACAATAATTGTACAATGTTACCAAGGTGATTCATTACAATTCTACAATGTTACCAAGGTGATTCACCACAATTATACAACGTTGCCAAGATGATTCATTGCAATTCTACAATTTTACCAAGGTGGTTCACTACAATTCTACAATGTTACCAAGGTGATTCACTACAATTCTACAATGTTATCAAGTTGATTCACTACAATTCTACAATGTTACCAAGGTGATTCACGATAATTCTACAATGTTACCAAGGTGATTCACCACAACTAACTTTATTTTAGTTCAGCTAAAACTTTCAAGTTGAAAATACGTTACTTCAGGTATTTTTAATCTGATTGTTTCAATACTGGGTCAATACTAACGTTAGGCAATCTAATTAAGTCAATTTTATATACAATTAGCACCTGTCTTGATAAAGCATGTCTAATATCGATTTTCAGGTGGACGTGAATCGTTTATGTCTGACATTGATTTGCACACCATCAGTTAACCATAAGTTGCTTTTTTTATTTGTGAGTAGAAAGGTGTGTAGATGTTTCCCCTTGCAGAAATTGAAGAGTTGTACCCCCGTGTTGTCGCTGTTGAATCATTGGCAAGAAACGAGATTTTTGTGGTCAAGCCGATCAAAGATTCAGTTGAAATAACACCAAAAAGGTCAATAATCATGATATTTTGACCAGACAGGAATAGCAGCTTAATACGGCAATACTTCTTGATATAATAGAAAATTTCATTCAGTATTGCATGATTGTCGTCGGATGTTCGTTATATACAAACTTCAGAATTTCAGGTTGCTAAATAAATGTAGTGTCACTGACGTCTGTTGTCATAATATTAGACATCGCTTAGTTCATTATTCTTTACATATGAATGTCAACGCTTCTGACACTCAGTGTTGTTTTAGTTACTAGGACTATCTGTCGACATATAAGTTGGGCATCTGCCGTATTAGTGATACAAGTTAATATTGTATAGACAAAAAGTTGTATGTAATTGGAACTACAGGGAACATTTCTTTAAACTACACTAAAAAGGACTTTGTTGTGTTTTAGACAGAGAGAAAATAATTACTTTCTTCAACATGGTTAGGATACCTCGAAATAAAATTATACATTTCTGACTAATGATCAGTTGAGAAGCAAATATAAGATATATATTATGTAATAAATCAGATTGTTACTTTGGAGCACATATAAGACAAAACGTAAATAAGCATATAAAAGTAACTGAATCTACTTTCATATTGAATTTATGGAGACGGACGAAATATTAGATGATAAGACGAGTTCTCGTGAAGTTCAAAAAGAGCACGTTGAACAGGTAAGACATATACCATAATTTTGATTGGCTCAGATTTCGCGCTAATAGCTGGATCTCAGCGGGCTGGGACTAGGGGGGTGTGTTCAGCTTCCGCATCTCTGTACCTTACTAGTTCAACGACCGACCAGGTAAACACAGATAGACCGCTTCAGTTGCAAATCTGTAGCCAGTGAAGAAAGTACTCTCTGACCCACTCCCGCGTCCGCGATAGACTATAAGACGGTGGAAGCCTTTAGTCATCTTAGCTAAGCGGTCAGTCTAATGCCACAGCCATATAAAGTGTATAAAACTTAGTCGTTTTTTTATAATTTGTAACCATTAGGAATCTTCAACACTTAGTTACACTAGTAGAGTCAATTCCTGCTGTCTCGCCTATTTAGTTAGAAACAACACCATAAGCTCTACTGTTATGGGTTCTCTTAAGAGAAACGTGAAACTGTGGACTAGGTCCTGACAAAAAGTTCACTGGTTTTATCTCTCGTTTCGTCTTGTTTTGAGTTTAAATTCCTCTAGTTTGCTGACTGCGACCGATACAAAGCGACAACATAGTAATGGACGAATCTAAGCAAGCAGACCAGTCTCGCGGGGTTTTGGCTCCTGCGTCATCCACTGTTAATTCGACGGACGATTTTGGTATTGATAGAAATTCAGATTTAGGAATTGGCTTCGCTGGATCTCTTTCCATTAAAAAGGAAGGCTATGAAGACAAACACCCCGATTGTTATGAGTCTCCAGTGTCCAAGGCAACCGACTTGGGATTTGGAACTAAAGAATATACAGATTTGGTTTCTTATCCTTCCCTTGATTATCCTAGCTTGATAGAAAGCCCTACAGCCTTGATGTGTAGCCCCCTTTCTCTGGAGCTCGGTACATCTTCCGTGAGTGTATTATACGACCTGGAACCCCAAAGTTCCAGTATCACCATACTCTCGAAGCCTGTTTATGAAAAAACCTCCAATAAGTATGGTGAGTATGTCCCATATATTCTGTGCTGATGAGGTAAAATTTCGAGCAAAATAACACACGATCCAATTTGTTGTTGCAGTAAATTATTATATTTTTATAGCTATATTGTGCTCTAAACATAAAAAACGTTTCGTCTAGTGTGACACTATATAATACTATAAGCATACAAAACGTTTCGTCGAGTGTGACACTGTATCATACTTTAAGCATACAAAACGTTTTGCCTAGTGTGACGTAAGAAACTACAAAGCAGATCTATGAGGAAGCGAAACTAACTTTATACATCAGCTCAAGACCCAAGGGCCATGGGGCTTTGAGCGCATCTACGTTCATTGAACTCCAGCCGACTTTCCCTATCTGTTTTAGCCTTGACATTGAACCGACGTGTTTCTATTATCGCTTTGGCTGTCGATAGAATAACTTATTATTACGAAGAAACTATACACTTCACGAATACTGCCACATTCTCAGAATCTACGTTTATTAAAGGTGAAATCACAACTAAACAGCGCTGTTGAATGAACCTGTATCGCCACCTTGAGAAGCATTGATTCTGTTGGCTAGATGGAAAGGTAGAATGTGGGCCAAGTTCACGGGCATGCACTCAAGGTGAATGACCGCTAAATGCAACTTGCCTGACTCGACGTTACCGCTGTCGTGCGTTTTTTTTAACATATAACGAGTTTGAAATTATATGTAGCTTAAAAACTGATGCGTCAGTTTAGGAAAAAGTTAAAAAGTTGGTGACAAACTTTCCATTGACCACGGTAGAGTTAATGAACCCTGAAATAGAAAAGTTTCTTTCTAGGATAATCCCCCACTACTTTTTTGTTAATAGAATGTTGTTAGAGATTCCTTATAGTAGTTATTTTCAAACATTTAAATTTTAGTAAAAATTGGGATTAACTTCAGTATGTAAGCTGCGAACAAGGTCAATGACCCTTCTTTTAACGTTGCAATAAATGGGCACCCGTTTAATTAAAGGAAATTATAAAACAGTCTATTGGGTACGCTATTGTACCTCGAGAAATCCCAGGATACTCTGAGGCTGAGCTTGTATTCTATTAAAACATCACGAATACTAGTTAGTGAGTTTACATTGTACCATTCATGATATATAAATACTTAAGCTAAGTTATTTCCTCTAATAGATATTATGTTTTTAATTTTTTCTTTGTATAGATTTGTATTTACAGGAGCCGCCCATCTAGGGTGCCTCCTTTAATACATATAACATTTTCTTTCTTTTTTCCTCCACTATGGAAAAAATTTCATTATAGACATTGTGGGGGATTTAAGCTTATTCCCTTTTCTGATAGAGTTCGTTCTTATGAAAACAAATAATATTGACGTTTGCAAGTAAAGACCACTTAGTATTCAGCCGATCTCAGGCAGTTAGCAGGTGTATTTAGAATCCAGCCGACCTCTCCGTACACTGTCATTAGTCAGCTGAGTGATCAATCATTTACATTTCTGATCATATGGTTGATACTTATTCGGTGCCTGATATGGATGACAATGAATAGTGTGTGTGTGACACTTGTATTGTCATAGATCTAATAATACAAAATTCTGATTGGTTCTTAAGGGGTTTATGCAGTATTTAGTATTAGAATTTGATTAAAAGAGAGTAACTAGTGGAAATTCTAAGCCACTACTTTTACTTCAGTATAAATAAAATTGGCATGAAATATTTATTTGTTTGAATAATTCCTGCTGTGTGAACTAAAACGGAATTCGTGGTGGCCTTACATGTTATGTCATAATGGTGAAAATTTTGAATTCCTTCAGGGAATCAGTTTACTACATTGTGTTCAGCAAGAGAAGTAAGGTAGCCGCCAGGTGGCAGATAATAGTACTAACAAACAAATGTTTAGAAGAGTTTTTGTGTTTGTTATTAAACACAAAGTAACACAATGGTTTATCTTTGCTGTACCAACGACGGGTATTGAAACCCTATTTTGAGCACTATAGGCAAGCAAACTTGCCGCTGAACCACTGGGGGTCTAATCTTAGAGTGAAATGGCGTTGGGTGTAACTAGGACTAAACGGAACACACGTGGTACAAAAATGTAATCTCAATCTGTGATGTTATCAAGTCAAACTAAGAACGAAAATGTTCTGGCATGTATTTATTCTAAAACAGAAACAGAAGGTTTTGTAGAAGGAGTGATTGATGGAGGGGACAGTGGTATGTTTGACCAACTGAAACTCAAGAGTCACAGTATTAGGATAAATAGCTCCAAGTGTTTCCATTGCCATTGGCTGGTCAAAAAATATGTGATAAGATAAAACACTAAAATTCAATACGAAGCAACTCGTAATCAGCGCTTCTACGACTCAACTTATATAAATAATTTAATAAAATAAAATTAACACGATTTTTACTGGTTTCACTGCTCTATATTCATCAATTCACTTATTTAGCGGTTATATGTCTCATTAATTTAATTATTTCTCTAAGAACAATTGCTTTTTTTTTCTTCTAGGAACAAACAACTGTATGTAAGTTATAACAAATCCTAAATCAACATGTCTGTTTAAGGATTAACAAAAAGCATTAGTAAGGCCGTTGGAAATTGTGCACTTCAGGATATATTGAGGATGTATAAGAATGGTGCACTTTTGGAGTACAGACGACCGGACCTAAAAAACATGGCGACGCAGAAATCACACTTTCCCTCGCGTATGATTAGTGGTCTCCATGAATTTGAGTTCCTCTGACGCTGTCGGCAGAAGTATTTCCATCGCTTTTCAAAATATTAATTACTTTTACTAGAGGCTACGTTATTTCTAATACATTATACAGATTTACTTCTATTAGAGGCTACATTATTTCTATTACACTATTCAGATTTACTTCTACTAGAGGCTACGTTACTTCTAATACGCTATTAAGATTTACTTCTATTAGAGGCTGTGTTATTTCTAATACACTATTCAGATTTACTTCTACTAGAGGCTGTGTTATGTCTACTACACTATTCAGATTTACTTCTACTAGAGGCTGTGTTATGTCAATTACACTATTTAGATTTACTTCTACTAGAGGCTATGATAATGATATTCTTCTATGCTGTTATTATCATGATTTTATAAACTTTTATATTCGAGGAACATGCCACTATTAACGTTCGTATGCCAATTTATATATACATATGACGTCATTACTATTTTCTCGCGTAAGTAGGCGCGTGAGTCGACTTATAATAGAAAAGGTCATTAACCTAATGGGTGTGGCCAGTTTCTTTTTCTTTAGGACTTCCTGAAGAACAGAAGTGTTAAAAACATCTTAATTATTCAGTTCAGTTTACAAGATATATCTATCAGTCTGTTTATCATTCAGAAGAGTAGAGGTGTGGGATGAAAAACGAAATTCCTTTACTAACTCCTTCCTTGGTAAAGTTAGCTAATCAAGCAAACTTTTCAATATTATCGCTGTTGATATTATGATACTGTGGTAGAGTTTGACTTTGAAGTGATGATACACTCGGTTTTTATTTTTGGAAAAGTGAATACCAAGACATTGATTTATTAAGAAAAATGATCAGAAAAATCTAAAGATAATTGAAAGTTCTTAAAATGTCGGAAGTAAAGCTTAGGCTTCTGATAAGAAAATATGCATTTAATTATTATTCAGTAGTAGTACCCTTAGAATATTTTTTCTTCGATGCTTTAACATATATAATTTGACAAGAACAGACGTGCGAAGCTGATAACACGTTTTGTACTGAGATGTACTGTATATTAGACTCAATGTTTGTGTGATCTTCAGGTGTACTGTTTACTAGACTTTATGCTCGTGTGATCCTGAGGTGTATACTATAATGGAATATTCAGATTCAAGGCAAGCTTTCTACTACGATTGAGAGACAAAAAAAGTAATATTTTTGAGCGAATAAAAACGGCTATGCTTCATATTTCTGTTGAACTGACTAGTTTCATATTTCTGTTGAACTGACTAGTTTAATATTTCTGTTGAACAGACTAGTTTCTGGCGACTTCTCATTTTTATTATAACTGTCTTTATTGTATTTTACTTTGTCAACTGTATAAAAATCTAATTTGTTGGGTATATAAATAGATTTAATACATATGTATTCAGATTTTAGACGTTTTATTGTTACATTATTATTAAGCTATGATTATGTATCCTATTGACTAGATAGATTCCTTTGTGATATATATAGAATTTGGCACGAGTGATGGAAGGCAATCATATCGTGTGATATAGTAAGTACTAACACCATCTTAGATCACGCTGTTTTTATTTTGTTCCATTTGGTAGAGCCGGGAACCTTACAAACTGGGAGGTGTGTTTAGCGGATGGATTCAAGTTTCCACATTGTTCATTCTTCTTTAATCACTTTTTACGTTATCTAAATAGCTGCTGCAATAAATTTAATCAAAAACCGATATTCGTATTGTATAATTAAATATTGTTATATTTCCTGACAATGAATAAAATTAACGTTTAATGTAGAGTGAAGAAAGTATACTAAAGTTTAGTTCCCTGTTTCGTTTTACAATAATAAATGACGCAGTTCTATTTCTTTTCAAGCTAACGTTTGAAGTAAATTTATTTTCCTAGACCCAAGCTTAGCCGTCGCTGATTCCAACAGCTCTTCTCCTTCAAAATCGTTTGTTCCTTGTAGAGTCTGTGGAGATAAGGCGTCAGGCTACCATTACGGGGTGACGTCTTGCGAGGGATGTAAGGTGAGGTTAAGTTTTTATTTTTGGAGACTTTATATTTAATTTATTCTCCTCTTTCAGCAATAAATAGTTATTTTGATCATCTTATCAAATTAAAATCTGCTTTTGCATCGACCAAAACTTCCTAGATAGAGGCAGTCGATTAATGATGCCTTTCAAGTATACTCTCCTCTGTCCTAAACCTTCTCTCAAGAAAGAACAATTACATGTGTAGCATTTGAAAGGTGGCAAAAAATTAGTACTGACCATTAGTGGCTTTGCTGACTTGAGTGTTTGCATTTTTGGCATATTGTAATGATTAATTGAAAACTAAGGAAGAAATCATTATATGTAGCAAGTAAACGTTGTTTAACACGATATACATTAAACAAACAAAATTTACCGAAGTGTATAAATGTTGAAGCACGCGCTAAACTTAATATGTGATTATCTAAAGGTAAATTTTAAAAAATCTTCTAAATTCTCACTCACAAGCCAGCCAACTTTTTAAACGCATTAGTAACATGAGCTGTTACTTACATAGCTGTTACAATTAAAATCTTGTTAAAGCAATATTATTTCACATAGAACTGAGACATGATCTGAAACAATTCAGTTGTGTTACAGAGATTTAAAAAACGGTTCTATACTGTCTGGTGGCAACCTAGCTACAGTTTAAGATTGGTGTATTTGGTGTCGTAGTCATAGGCAACAAGATGAGACTTGAGGCCTAACGTCTTGGTTAAAATTCCAATGAAAACATAATTAATAAGTTTGTTTGTCTTAGAGCAAAGCAATTTTAGGCTACCTGCTGTATCCACCGCAAGTAATCGAACCCCCACATTGTAACTTTGTAGATTCGTAAACTTACCGCTGTCCCACTAGGGGACTTGTTAATAAGATTAAAATACGTTTATTTCATGATCTTAGTTTTGTTTAATTTCACTCTGGTGTTGAAGATAAATTTAGTCAGACTTTTCATTTGTGTATATTTTTTTGATCGTGTTTAGAGAGTGAAGTAAACAGCTACAGAACTTGGGTATGTCGATACATATATATTTTTCCTGAATGTGTTTTAAGAGTGAAGAAAATTACGTTCACATTTTTTGACATATCGCTCCTTGCGGCTGTTTTTATTTTCTTATTTACTAGATGTCCCCTAGGTAGACCTAGTAGGTGCGTCTCTTATGCAGGAAGCAATATAATAAAAAATATTTTGTGAATTTTATTATAAACATATATTTATCATGTTTGTTTTGTTTTTTACCGAAATGTCTAAAGACCGTGAACAGTATGGTTTCAAAACGTTTAAAATCTATGATATTTTTGTTTTTGAGATGTCTACGGACCGTGGACGTTATTGTTTTCGAAAAGTCTACGGATCATGGACAGTGTTGTTTCGGAAATGATTTATAATATGAGTACTATTCGTACCAAAATGTAAGAACCAAAGACAATATTGTTTACTAAAAGTCTACAGACAACATTGCTTCTGATGCGTCCACAGGCCATATAAATATAAATAAACGCAATGCAAAATTTTTTCATCAAGAATTCTTTAGTCACGCACAAATTCTTGTTGTTTGCTTAAAATCAGAGCGTTGCTAAGGTATCCTCAATAAACTCTCCAAAAGAACCTCTATTTAGTCACTTAATCCAGTGTGACGCGTCTCCAAAGAACATTCATTACATGTTCGATAGTCTGCCGGATATCTTTTTTCCAGAATTACAGGCGAGCAGTTTTGTGAGTTGCGTATAGGTGAACTTGAAACATCTTCTCAGCACTTGTAACAAGACTTTCAGTTGCGGCTGCAAACATCTGATTCAATCTGTAGCAGATATCCTAATAAGACCCTAATCGGCAGACAGTGGTCATTTGCCTTTGTTGTGAATGCTGGTATGCTTTGTCGAGATGTCCAAATGACTAGAAGTTCTGCTAAAGACACTCTGAAACACTTGTTCCCCCAGAAAATCTTCTGTGACTAATTATCTCCCATTCTTCGCTGCTGTGACTTATTGGCTTCCATTCTTCACTGGTGTGACTGGTTACTTTCATTATTCCCTGCTGTGACTGATTGGTTTCATTCTTCTCTGCTGTGACTGATTGGTTTCCATTTTTCAGATATGAAAGGTCCAAATGGCTTCTCCAAAATCCTGTCATTGGGAATGTGGAGTACATTAAATTTTGTGATTCAGTTCTGAAGTGACAAGACCACCATACATAGCATAAGCTGAATGTCCATTTCAGATTAAGGGACTGCTTAATGTAATAAGAATCTGGGGGGGGGCATTATTTAATAACATTGATTTTGCCTTATCACAGTATTGTAAATTTCAGTATTTCAAATTTGTAAAAGAAGAAAACAGCTTAATGTGTTAACATACATTTTTGTATGCGTCGTAAGTAATTACAAAATTCTAAAGAAATTATAATCTTTATTTCATTACAGATGTTGTTCGGTTTATGTGACACTTCATGGAAAGCGATATTTTGTATTATAATTAAATAGAAACATAGCTTTAATTAAACATAACCTAGTAATTCAGACCATTTTCCTTATCCTCCTCTTCTGGTGCCTCCAGCCTGCTGTGTGAAATAGGGCGTATAACCACAGTTAGTTCACAGAGAATCCAGGAGACGTCATTTTCGCTGTAATTAAAGCTTGCTTTGCCTTTTCCAATGTAATTTGTTTTTTTTTAATGTAGTCGGTAGAGAAAGCGAAAGCTCTACCGTTCATTATTGAATTCATGCCATAATGTATCTTCTTGGCGTCATTTTTTGGTCGAATAACAATAACACAGTCCTATCGAAACTATTAACAACAAGAAGAACACAGTTCTATGAGAATTATCAGCAACAAAAAGAACCACAACTATGAACAACAACAAGAACACACCGTTTTTTTTTGGGGGGGGGGCATTGGACTACATTTTAGTTTAGTGTTCATAGTTCAGTTTTCTAAAAAAACAACGTAGAAAATTAGCTGCATTTGTTCACTATGTATCTTTGTACGGTTAACAAAAAAAACTTTTGAAGACATATAAATAAATAATTCTTTAAATAATATTTACCGTTAGGTCATAGTCAAGGAACTCAGAACGAGGACTATTTTATTACAGCATAGAGTGTTCCCTTCCAAAATGTGGGCAAGTTCATCAGCATTACCACTCTTATTACTGACCAGTACTGACCGCTTCATTGTGTTACGTGAATGGCGAACATTCTTTCTCAACTCAAGAAATGAGAATATTACATCTATTTGTTCTAATAAGTTTAACTAAAACTTGAAGTTCACTGGACATAACATTGTTAAATTACAAAGATTGGATTGTATTGTGAAAATTACATAGTTGTTTGGAATAAAGCTGGTCTAATGTTTCTAGCATGAAGGTTCTAAGATGGCGGATCGGTCGTCCACACATGAACAAGTTGGAATTAGGTTAATCAATCAAGATTAAATACTGAATTAAAAAGATTTGTCCTTTAAAATGTTATATTTTAAATTTAAAAAGCTACAAATTTCTAATTTATATCAAACTTAGGTTTTCATCAGTTTTACACAACAATCCTCCTACACTTTTTGTTTACTTACTTTCTCTGTCTATTTATTCTCTCCCTTCTATTGATAATAAGCGGCTCATGTTCTTTATTACATATTCATAATTATTAATATTTAACACGTTTCAATATTAGAGGGTAGTCGTGTTGAATAGTAGAAGAAATGAAAATATAGTAA